TTTGATTTTTGACGAAATGCTTTGAAATTTAAAACATAGTTATGCATTAGGATATTCTACAATATGATTTAGAAAAAAAAAAATTGAAATCACGTGGATGCACGTGTACAGCAATCTGATTGGCTGAAACTTGAAATGGCTATAATTCCCTTGGTTTTCAACCAAACAGGATGGGATTTAGAGCATATATAGATATAAGGGCCTCCTACAAGAAGGTGTGGTCATCATGCACGTGCACGCACGTGCGTGCATTTGGAACGAGTGAAATTGAAAATACACTTGAATGAGTGATTTTTTATACTTTTGGACTAAATGCTTTCATATAAAGTATATTTTAATATATAGAAAGTGTAGACAAGGTTATGTGATCATTATGCACGTGCATTCACATGGACACGCTTGCAATGTTAAAATTTGAATATAATTGGTATCCTTTTGGGAAAACGTTGGTAAAGTCAAAAATGCAAAGATGTTGTCTTATTTAATAAGGCTTACAGGGAATATGGCACCAAAAGGGCGTTGGGGAGCGTTTGGGGAACATCTGTAACGGTTCCCGTTACAATTAGCACTAGTTAATTTTCCTTTCCAATAAAAAAAAAGAAAGGTACATACAACAAAGTATCAACATGCTTTACAGTTTTTACAATTCCATGACTCTAGACTCTTGACATATTTGTTTGTAATGCCTACACAATGAAAGTGGTACCAAAGCTTGCACATGTCACAACAAATGCTACGGTCTTTGAGTCCAGCTACTTCATCAACAATAACCATATTGCATTCAGGGCAAAAATATGTTTTACCTTCTATCAAATGATTATCAATTTCCATTGGCTCTTCTGTTTCTTGTGTCAATAAACTACTAGTCTGTAATGACCTTGTAAAAATCTCTGGAAGTATGAAAGATGAATAAAAAAATTCCAGACTGACTAACATGTTTGAAAAAAAATCACTGTCAAACACAATCTTTTCATGAAAGGATCCATTGCATGTATATATGTACAGTATACACCATTTCCGCTTTGTAAGCGACATCTGCCCTTGAACTTGACCATAATATGCCCCTCGTTTCAGTGTCAGTGGTTCTGTGCATTGTAAACAATTTGGTAATTTACATTTACAAAAAGAAACACATGTACGGCATTTTGGAATAAGTGGACATTTAAATTCTACCACACCTTCTCCACAGTTAGAACAAGATACAAGTAAATCATGGGAAGCAGCTAAGAATGGCCGCTCTGTATCTAAAAATATTCCACATTCATCAAACATGACATTTTTGTGATTTTTTTGGTACATTTTCTTGAAGTCAGCTTTTGCTATGGGTTCCATTTCCCGTCCATACTTAAGGGCTTTGACATTTGGATTTACAGATTTATACCCCATTATTCGTGAAAGTAATGAACTAACATCACAATCTGAATTTCTTTTGTAACTCTCTACTTTTGTGTGAATAGCATAAAAATTGGAAGCAGTTAGTCTCCCTTTCCTTAGTTCTGTCCACTAGGGGTTGGATGACTGGCCCAAGGTAGCTTTGTTGACTGCTTGAACCTCTGCCTCGGAGATGTGATCCACCCGGTTATTTATCATGTTTTCTATGTAATAATTTTCAGCATTGTACACAATAACAGGTGTTGTTTCTTCCTGCTCCATAGGCAACTCTGAAGGATCATCAGTACTCTGCATACCTGGATTAAACAAAAATACAGAGCACCATAGCTATACTGGGGGTCTGATAATACAATATAATTTTAATGTTTGCAATATACTTTCTCTGTATGTATATGTTTCATAATCTCTATCTAAACTGTATTAATCTATTACACAATTGGTCTATGTAAAGAATAGATGATGAGTAAAAATATTTAAAATTTTCTTGGTTAAACCAGCTTTTTACCTTTAAACACACAAGCATTTGGAAGAGCATCCTTCAGGGAGGTTAAAAGGGTCCTCCGTATGTCCTCGTCAGTGTTTCTGGTTGTGTGAGGCGTAACTTCATAGTCTGCTTTATTCCTCCCAACAAGTGGTCTAGATACTGTATATATAAAGCGCATGTACTTTACATCAAGAAAACATGTACCTTAATAACTAATTGTACACAAATATTTTTTGCTCATTTCTAAATTTTCATTGAATTATAACTTTTACCTCTTATTATGCTTACATTACACTGATGTTATTATATAACTGTGTTTCTAAAGTATTATGTTTTTAATGACCAAGCTTTTTTAAAAGATTACCCGGTAATCTTGTTTACAGCCATAGTGTTATTCATTTTGTAAAGTCTTTTTGTATGACAATAGTCATTATTGAACTGTGTGAAAGTTCTGGTATACCTACCAGCTTTACCATGCTTTGACTTTTTAAAGTTCATATCCTTGATTTGGGCAGGTTGAAGCTTTTTTTTCTGTTGGTTTAACCCATACACAAGTTCCAGAGGTGCAAGATGTTAGTCCGAGTTTGTTTGCTGATTCAATACGAAAAAGCAAACCAGCTACATGGTTGCAAGATTGTCCCAGGCTGCAATATAAAATCCAGTTATCATTATAAACCATATACTTGATATTATTTACAACAGTTAAACAAATGGACATAAGTGTATATAATAATTATAAGTGAATAATATACATGTAGGTCTGTATATGATTTATTTATTTATGGGATATGTAGAAACAATTTCTTGATTATACCTAATTTAATCAATTATATTACATTTCATAGGTCATTTAATTAACCTTTAAAAATAACTAATCAATTGAAAATTGTTCTCATGTTCACTTACCCTGAGGTACAAGAACAGTAGGCACTTATAACTGTTCCAGTTTTCTTCTCAAAACCAAACCAAACACTGTGTGTTTCAGCATTAAGATTCTGGGAAGGTGTGCACCTGGCACGCAGAAAACAGTATGGTGATGATGATGATATGGGATGATAAAACACTTCTTTCAACCACTCTGATGAATAATACTCGTATGCTTTTCCTATCTTATACTGATTCAGATGTTCACACGCCTTCTCCTCACTTTCAGATTTCATTAAAAATGTAGTAATGTCTGTAATAAACACTGGTGGCCAATGAGACATACCCTGTTTCTCGTCTTCCCACTTATCATAAATTAACAAAGGGTCTGGTAAAGTACATCACCAACTTTAAGTAAACATTTGTAGGTATCTAATTTAGACTTTTCATTTTCTTCCGCTGTTGGTATAATTGGCATGTTAAGCTTACTTGCCGCAAAAGCCAGAGCTATCAGTTCTTTCTTGTTTCCGGTGCTTGAGAGTCCTCGCCTGGTCAAAAATGACCGCAACGCTTCAACTTTCCAATGAGAAAAATCATCTAAAGTACAGCTTTGATCGCCAGGATCCATAATATATATATATATATATATATATATATATATATATATATATATATATATATATATATATATATATATGTATTTATAAAATATCAAAGTTATAAAATACTAGTCAAAATAAACCGCTGTGTATTACTTCGTGACTTCCGCAGGCATCCATTACAGCGTCCTTATCCCCGATTGACCTTTGACATGCATATTTAATGAGCAATACCAAAATGGCGAACCCGAACGTGCAATAGGACTATAGGTGCTCTGAGTCGTAGGTAAAATGAAAGGTGATAGAAAAAAACACAGGTTTGCGTTAGGAAATACCATCAGAAAGGAGAGAGTGTCCTAGTCTGGAAAAGAAGCTAAGTGTTTTAAATCTGTTTGGTTATCTAGGTTAACAATTAATGAATTTGAAACTTTGACAAAAAAATCTTACGATGAACAGTCATATGTCACACCGGGGTCCGAAGAAAGTCAAAACAATGTTAAAATATTACGCCCCCACCCTCGCAATCCTGACCCCTTTCCTCATGTCACAACCCCTGACAGCACAGAAATGAGGATTGTGGATAGGGATATGACTGTTTATATGATGAATGACTTGAATGTTTCGCATTCTCAAACTAATTGTGCCACCCCAACTATGAATTAATGTCTGAAGTAAAGCAGGATCTAGGGTGGACTTGGACATTTAAGTGCAAAAACTGTCAATTTAAATCTAAAATGTACAAACTTTTTCGAGAGGTCCCTTCTGAGGGACCCGGCCGAAAAGCAGCAGCCATCAATAAGGCAATACAGACTGCTTTGTATCAAACTCCCGTAGGAAATAACCAGGCCCGATTGATCCTCGCATGTACAGGTATCCCACCCCAATCCGGATCGTCAATGTTTAAATAGTGCAATAAAGTCGGTGAAAAAATTGTTGACGTTGCAGAGTGTGATATGGATGAGAGAATAAACCAATTAAAAGAACGAAATAAACTAATAGGCCTGCCTGAATCTCACCCTATCAATATACAAATGGATGCCTCGTACAAATCCCGAAGCATTATGCATAACAAGCCGACACAAAATGGGCCAAGGGGCCTCGCAAGTGATTGGCTTGGCATGCGAAGATGTCACAGACAAACATCAAGTGATATCTTATCATATGACAAATAAATTGTGCTGGGTGGGAGCATGGCTTCAGGGTGAGGGTTTCCATGTCCAATGCCCAGGTGGTCATTTCGGTTGTACAGCAAATAAAAATCCTGTTGAGCCTCTGGCCGAAAAACTAAGTAAAGAAAAATCTGTTGGTACAATACGTAACCACTGATGGTGATGCAACAAGTGCCGTGGGGCTCGAAAAAGCAATACAAGACTTTTTATCTCCCCCTATGGAGAACAAATCGACTCCCGGATAGAGTTCATAGGGATCAAAGCCAATTTAGGCATGGTGTAAAAGTAAATTTTAGCGACGAAATGTTCCCCGCAAACACTAAAGTACAAAAAGCAGAGCTACAAAAATGTCGAATGACATTAAAGAAAGATGCAGTGGTATTTTTAAAGATCTCTTCAAAAAGTACAATGGTGGCCTAAAAAAAATGTCAAACTCCTTACCGAGAATTGCCGACAAGGTTCTAAAGTGTTACATAGGAAGTTGCGGTGACCCATGTAGGTGGAGCTTAACTCTGTGGGGGTGGCAAAATAACGAGTTGGTGGTACAAGTCTGTCGGACTCCGCGCACATGGTTTAAAATCTGGTGCACTAAAATATAGTACAAACGACAAGTTAATCCTTGAGTCACTGCTTGAAATGAAGTTGTCAGTTTGTGCATTAAACAAAATGAAATTAAATTCAACAACAAACAAGTGTGAGTCTGTAAATAGAACTAACTCTCTAAGCCTACCAAAAAATAAAACATACTCACGAAATGCGAAATCCCGTGCCTTGTCAGCCATATTAAGGTCGAACAATGGTTTAGATATGGCTATCTGTAAAACACTGGCTGCTGTCGGTGCTCCTCTCGGAAAAAAAATCCCAGTCACTCAGTGCACTGAAGAAAATGAAAACAAAATCCGAGTACCATAAACAATATAAAAAGTCAATAAACCAGAGAAAAAAGCGAGCCATGGCTCGCCATCGAATAGCAAAACAATTTGTTAAAAACAAAAAGAATGGTCCAAGAAACACTGATTACAAAAAACATCAGCTCGAGCCAAAACTGCCGCCATCACTGTGTACAAGAGTTAGGAAATTAGTGAATACCGAACCCGATCAACCTGGTTGTAGTTAATGGTAATTAAAAATAAAAATAAATTTAGTGTACCATGTATGAACTAAATAAAAATTAAAATGTGTACCAAAACAAAAAAAGATGTAATGTGTAAAATTAAAGTGTGTTAAAAATAAAAAGGTGAGCAGTAGGTGGAGGAAGTGGAGGCACCCCCCCCCCAAAAAAAATTCCTTTAAAAAATAGTGGTAAGAAAAAAAAATTCATAAACATTTTGATGTTTTGCATTTGTTATTGCATACATACCATTCAAATGAAGCTGAATCATGCAGTCAGGATAAGCAGAAAGATGTCTGCACAAACCTTCACCCAAGCAGTTAATACGTTGCATGTTAATAGCATGGGGTTCAAGCATGAGGTGGGAAGGATTAATGCACAGGGGATTATGACATAAATGAGAGCATTCTAAAGAGTGGGGAGGGATTTGCTTTAGTTTAAGTATTAGTGATAATTTAGCAGGTGCATAAGTGTGCCATTAACCGTTTGGTAACTTAACTCTTATTTGACCATACAACTTACAACCTCTCTTATGCCATAACCGACGCTCTCCATTAATAGAAACAGAGCTATTTTCAAACAGTTTTTTGGAATAATTCCTAAAAAAGCATCCATCTTCATCTTACAATAACAGGAAGTGATATAAAATACAATACGTACACGGTACGTTTCAGGAATTTCATTATATAAGATTAAATTGAACAAAAATGAATTTTTTGACACTTACTAATATGGGTACCGTCCACTAATTGTTTTCCCATAGGCGACAATGTTAACGTTTCGTCTCATAGCGATGTCCCTAATTTTCGTTCAGCAGTGAGTGACCCCTCAAATCAAAGCACATCAAGTTGTCTTTCTTTGGTGAAAATCTCGAGATGGCATGCCAGATTCGTTTTCCGGCAAAATGCGTCTGTCTGCAGGAACTTCTGAAAATGAAAGTGAAAGGAGGGGAATTCCAGGATTCTCAATGGCGGTATAATACACAAAATAATTCAGCTAATCTTCTTGATAAATTACATTTGCTAAGCTATTTTATTAGGAAAGATACTCCTTATCAAGAAGTATGAGGCTCAGTTTAGTACATTATCATATTTTTTAAAGTCAAGTCTGAAAATTCAGGAATTTGCAATTTTTTCTGCACTACTTTCTTCTACCAATTCTAAAAATAATTAGTGGGATGTACCCAGTAGGGGGTGCAAAAGGGTGCTCTTTCTTTATTAAAAGGCTTTGTTCAGAGCCATGCCGGGAACCTGCGCCTTGGGCTTCATTTTTGATTTCTTTTCCACCTTGATCGGTGATATTTTTGCGCCTTTTTTTTTAGTTTTTTTGTCTGCAATCAATTTTTAGAATTTTAAAAAAATAAATAAAAATGTTCATAGTAATTTTTATTGTTGCATAAATGGAACGAAGTAAATAATCCATTAGAAAATATTTGACATGCATGATTTGAAATATTAAATATGATATTAAAGGCATGATAAAAAAATATATGTGTGTGTGCTCATTAAAAACGAATGCATATCCTTTTTTTTACTACTAAAGTTCTTAAAATTTTGTTTTAACAGTATA